TGTGTGTTTCTGGACCAAACTAAAGGGCAGGCCACTATTTCTTGTGGCCCAGTATTGAGATGCAGGTGAACTGGGGAGAAAGAGAGTTTTTATTTCTGCCACTGGTTACAGGGAGAAGTCCTGGAAATTATCACCAGACCAACTTAAAATTACAAAGTGTTCTAGAGCCTATGCGTCTTCTAGGCTATATGTATATGTGTAAGTGTGTATTCATCTAGACGTATAAGTGACTAACTTCTTTTAATCTATAGCTAAAGTCTAAGTCCTGAAGACCTTCCTCTGGAGTCTCAGTAAATTTACTTAACTAAATGGGCCCAGGTGCTAGAGTGATCACCCTTATCTTGTCTCCTGCTAAATCATGGAGGTTTGGGGCGTTCCTTCAGACCTCCGATAAACTTGTTAGTGGAGGCCTGGGGAGTTTCTCCAGGCCCCCCAATATAATTCGTTTAATCCTAAATGACCCCTGTTAAGAATTCCTTTGTTATTTTGTCATGCTTTAAGGCCAGGAAAACCTAGGCGAAACTCTTGGTGGGCATTTCTTACATTCCAGCCTTTGTATAAAGCCACTGTCTTTGTGTGTGTGTGTGTGTGTGTGTGTGTGTGTGTGTGTGTGTGTGTGTGTGTGTGATTTTAATATTTAGGTTAATCACTCAGTTGGTACTCAAACAGTTCTTATGGAAGCCTGTGTCAGTGAGACCTGGCCTGCCACGTGTGGTTGCTCATGATAGTTTCTTCATCATAGCCCAAACCTGGAATGATAGAACTGTCCCATAACAGGTGGATGTATGAACAAATGTGGTATAGCCACACAAAGGAATACTACTCAGCAATTACAAGGCATTAACTGTTAAAGGAAACACTCATATGGATGGATTTTTAAATTAAGTTGATGCATGAAAGAAGGCAGAAACACAATAACATAGGTATCATTTCATTTATAGAAAATGGTTACAAACTCCTAAAGTGACAGTGGCTCACTGGGGCTGAGGGTTGAAAGACTGATGAACTCCATGGGGTACAAGAGACTTGGGGCTTATGGAAATTCCTCTGTCCTGGTTATGGCAGTAGTTTCCTTAGTGTATACATTGGTAAACTTGGCTTGAATTACACATTTTAAAGTGGTGCAGTCTCTTGTACCTAAATCACACCTTTATGAAGCTGATTTGATAATCTTAATTTCTGCATACTAACAATTAGCAGCTTGAAAATGGTGGGTTCCCAGAGTGCTCGGCGGCTGTGTGGAGCGAGGCCTTGTTCCCGCGTTGAGCCGCCGCCGCCGCCGCCTCCTCAGCTTCAGCCTCCGCGCCAGGCCCGGCCCCGCCGCGCCACGTCAGACTACAGCACGGGAGGACCCCGGCCCGGGCCGCCACCGCCCGCCGGCGGGGGCGGGGGAGCCGGGGGCGCCGGGGGAGGCCCTCTGCCGGGCCCGCCAGGCGCGGGGGACCGGGGCGGCGGCGGCGGCCCGGGCGGGGGGTCGGCTGGGGGCCCCTCTCAGCCGCCGGGAGGAGGCGGCCCAGGAATCCGCAAGGAGGCGTTCGCCGACGCGGTGCAGCGGGCCCGCCAAATCGCAGCCAAAATTGGAGGCGATGCTGCCACGACAGTGAATAACAGCACTCCTGATTTTGGTTTTGGGGGCCAAAAGAGACAGTTGGAAGATGGAGATCAACTGGAGAGCAAGAAGCTGGCTTCCCAGGAAGACTCAATCAGTTCTCAACTTGGACCCATCCATCCTCCCCCAAGGACTTCAATGACAGAAGAGTACAGGGTCCCAGACGGCATGGTGGGCCTGATCATTGGCAGAGGAGGTGAACAAATTAATAAAATCCAACAGGATTCGGGCTGCAAAGTACAGATTTCTCCAGACAGCGGTGGCCTACCCGAGCGCAGTGTGTCCTTGACAGGAGCCCCAGAATCTGTCCAGAAAGCGAAGATGATGCTGGACGACATTGTGTCTCAGGGTCGTGGGGGGTCCCCCAGGACAGTTCCACGACAACGCCAACGGGGGCCAGAATGGCACCGTGCAGGAGATCATGATCCCTGCGGGCAAGGCCGGCCTGGTCATCGGCAAGGGCGGGGAGACCATTAAGCAGCTACAGGTGAGGGCAGTGCCGGGTGGCTTCCTCTGCATCCACATGCCCCTCACCACCACCACCACTACCACAGCAGCCCAGGAAGTCCTGGGAGAGCCCAGCACTAATGGTTAACCTTGGTTGTAAAGGAACGTGCTGGAGTGAAGATGATCTTAATTCAGGATGGATCTCAGAATACAAACGTGGACAAACCTCTTCGGATCATTGGGGATCCATACAAAGTGCAGGTGAGCATGCTCTGCAGTAGTGGTGGGGTTCCAGAGTAGCGTGGGCAGGTTGGTAGGCCCAGTGGCCTGGGATCTGCATTCGGCCAGAGAGGTATGTGCATGGTTGTAACATGGTGAGACTTGCAAGTGCGCTGGCTCGGAAGGCGGCCCTGAACTGTCTCCCAGCTATGTGTGTGTGAGCCAGCGGCCTCATCTCTGATTTTCCACTTTCTTACCTGGAAACGGGGCTGCTTGCAGTGTCTGTGCATTAAAGTGGCAGGTGGAGAGCTCAGTAGGGTGCTGTGCTGGGCTCAGCCAGGGTTCGTGGATCCCTAGCTGAGGGCTCACCTATGGGGGCTGCCGCCTATGTGTTTGCAGCAAGCCTGTGAGATGGTGATGGACATCCTCCGGGAACGTGACCAAGGCGGCTTTGGGGACCGGAATGAGTATGGATCTCGGATTGGCGGGGGCATCGATGTGCCAGTGCCCAGGCATTCTGTCGGCGTGGTCATTGGCCGGAGCGGAGAGATGATCAAGAAGATCCAGAATGACGCTTGCGTGCGGATACAGTTCAAGCAAGACGATGGGACAGGGCCTGAGAAGATTGCTCATATAATGGGGCCCCCAGACAGGTGTGAGCACGCGGCCCGGATCATCAACGACCTCCTCCAGAGCCTCAGAAGTGGTCCCCCAGGTCCTCTGGGGGGGTCCAGGCATGCCCCCGGGGGGCCGGGGCCGAGGAAGGGGCCAAGGCAACTGGGGCCCCCCTGGCGGGGAGATGACCTTCTCCATCCCCACTCACAAGTGTGGTCTGGTCATCGGCCGAGGTGGCGAGAACGTGAAAGCCATAAACCAGCAGACGGGAGCCTTCGTGGAGATCTCCCGGCAGCTGCCACCCAACGGGGACCCCAACTTCAAGTTGTTTATCATCCGGGGTTCGCCCCAGCAGATCGACCATGCCAAGCAGCTTCTCGAGGAAAAGATCGAGGGTCCCCTCTGCCCAGTTGGACCAGGCCCAGGGGGCCCAGGCCCTGCTGGCCCAATGGGGCCCTTCAACCCTGGACCCTTCAACCAGGGGCCACCTGGGGCTCCCCCCGCATGCCGGGGGTCTCCCTTCTCACCAGTACCCACCCCAGGGCTGGGGCAATACTTACCCCCAGTGGCAACCGCCTGCTCCTCATGACCCAAGCAAAGCAGCTGCAGCGGCCGCGGACCCCAACGCCGCGTGGGCCGCCTACTACTCACACTACTACCAGCAGCCCCCGGGCCCGTCCCTGGCCCTGCGCCGGCCCGCGCGGCCCCACCCGCTCAGGGTGAGCCCCCTCAGCCCCCACCCACCGGCCAGTCGGAGTACACTAAGGCCTGGGAAGAGTATTACAAAAAGATCGGCCAGCAGCCCCAACAGCCCGGAGCACCCCCGCAGCAGGACTACACGAAGGCCTGGGAGGAGTACTACAAGAAGCAGGCGCAAGTGGCCACTGGAGGGGGTCCAGGAGCTCCACCAGGCTCCCAGCCAGACTACAGTGCCGCCTGGGCAGAATATTACAGACAGCAGGCCGCTTACTACGGACAGACCCCAGGTCCTGGCGGCCCCCAGCCACCGCCCACACAGCAGGGACAGCAGCAGGCTCAATGAATCGAATGAATGTGAACTTCTTCATCTGTGAAAAATCTTTATTTTTTTTTCCATTTTGTTCTGTTTGGGGGCTTCTGTTTTGTTTGGCGAGAGAGCGATGGCTGCCAGGGGGAGTATCGGGGAGCCCTCGCGGCACGTGGGGTGGGGGGCTTGGGGGCGTGCCGGTCCCTCACTCTCTCGCCCGTTCTGTGTCTCACATGTCTTTTCTTTCAAAATTGGTATCCTTCATGTTGAGCCAGCCAGAGAAGATAGCGAGATCTAAATCTCTGCAAAAAAAAAAAAAACCTTTAAATTAAAAAACACAAAGAACAAAGCAGAACTTATAAAATTATATATATATATTAAAAAGTCTCTATTCTTCACCCCCCAGCCTTCCTGAACCTGCCTCTCTGAGGATAAAGCAATTCATTTTCTCCCACCCTCGGCCCTCTT